AAATTGTCCTTGCAAAGCATCAGTTGTGTTATCCAACTTTGATTCCTGACACACTCCCCTTCCTGGAGGCTCAGGCAGCAGGCAGGTGCTGAGGCACAAGGGGCCATGGCTGTCTGCATGAGATTCAGGCTCATCCACTAACAAGATAGTGAGTTAAAGAATGTGTGGCCTCCCTAAGTTTACCGGGGAGTGTCACCCTGTTCTTATTAGAGGACTGAGGATTGAAAGGCTGCACATGACAGTGCCTGCCACTTAGCAAGCTCTGCATAGGTGTGTGCTCAGTATCAGCGAGCAAAGCTATGTGGTGAGCCAGACACAGTGCAGGGATACTTCTAACACCAGCTCTCCGGCAGTTTCTATTTAGCAGCTTCTATTTTAATTCAGGGGACCACGTGACCTATTCCACTGAGTCTTTAAGATGTACTTAGAATTTAATTTGTGCAATTAAATTCTGAGTTGCCTCAAAATCCTCTGCTATCTAACCTAAGCAGATAATAAAGCCTTTCTCTCTCTCTCTTTCTCTCTCTCTCTCTCTCTCTCTCTCTCTCTCTCTCTCTCTCTCTCTTCCCCCACCCCTGTGTGTGTGTGTGTGTGTGTGTGTGTGTGTGTGTGTGAATGTTTATCAATTTTCAAGAGATGGGGAGAAAGGTCAAGGGCCAGAGAGAGGTGACATTATTCACGTACTTTTATCTCCCTGCCCACCAGCTCAGAGCACCACTGGAGACAGTTCTACTCTGCAGACAGTCCCACTCTGCAGGTTTCTGTCTCTGCACACTGAGAACAGCTTCCCTTCATCTTGAAATTCTCTGCTTCTTGGCCTGGTTGTCATAAAAACCCCAAAGCAGCCACGAAGGGACCAAAACATATTTGGGGGAGGGGGAGGAAGAAAGGAGTCACAAACAAACACAGACTAGAGAAAGCCCACTGTAATGACCAGGAAGCAAATGAGACTCTTAGGCCATCTCCCTATCTGTTCTCATAAGTACCAACCACCCGCCCAAGGTGTGGGCTAAGACAAGTCATAACAATAATTCAGCTTCAGCAAGCTCTTAGAGGATGGCTGCCAGGCACCAGACATGCATGTCACAGACTTTGCAACAGTCCAAAGAGACGGGTAGTACTGTTATTATGCCCACACTGTAGACAAGGAAACTGAGGCCAGCATTCTACAGTCCAATTTAAAGCCAGGCATTCTAATTCCAGTCTGCCTGTCCTAGGGTGAGCCGCCAGCCTGCATCAGTACTCTACCTTTATTTTGCAGGTACTCTCTTGTAATTTTCCTTGGAACTATGTGTCAACTATACAATATTGGTCTCATTTAATTCCAAATCCTTCCAAGTGTTTTTAGTCTATTCAATCTGATTATTTTGCTGTCCCTGCAACTGTGGAAACTATAAAAATAGGATAAATAGAAAAATAAACTAACACAGACCTTGCCATCAGGATGCCAATAGCCTCAGACTATGACAGCCTCAGACTAACAATGCTCACTTCAGGCTTTGTGGAGCCCAAGCGAGGGAAGTCCCATGGAGCCACTTAATTAGCTCATGAACCTTTCACCCACTGCCACATGGAATGGCTTGATCGAACTTCAGTTATTGCACTCCACTTCAAAATATTTACGAAGATTTTGCCATTCCCACAGTAGGTAGGTAGCGGTGTGCAACAGCTCATGACCATGCAGCTAAAATGGGACTGCTTCTCATCTAAGGTAAGGTCACACCCAATAGGCCCTTGTAAGTTGAAAAGGTTTAAGCCAAAAATGTATATCACACCTCACTTATGCACATCAAAGCTTATACCAGTGGTTCTCAACCTGTGGGTTTTGACCCCTTTGGTAACCCTCTACCTCCAAAGAAATACTTACATTATGTTCATAACAGTAGCAAAATTACAGTTATGAAGTAGTAACAAAAATAAATTTATGACTAGGAGTCACTACAACATAAGGAACTGTATTAAAGGGTCACAGCATCAAGAAGGTCGCAAACCACAGGCTTAGACACATGGTACTGTGCAAAGAACTGGCCTCAACTATGTGGCTCCCTCGAAGTTGGGGGCCAGCCTTAAGACCTGACCCAGTACCTCAAAGGGGTCTTAGAGCACACCACTAGTCCAGGAAAAGGAAAGTTCAAGTGCAGTTCCCACCAGATGTTGCCACTTTTGTCTTGTCGCCAAGTTAGAAGCCCTCACACTGAGGCCCCCCTGTGTAACATAATGTCAGAGAGAGGTAAGCTGCAGGGACTACAGGAACACAGATGACCAGGGAAAACCTGTGCGCTGAAGTGGCATTGAGCGGAGACCAGAACGAAGAGAAGAAGCCAGCCCCAAAGGACGCGCACTTTGCAGATCTGAAGAATCAGAGAGTGGGGAGGAGATTGTCTTACAGTAAAAAACAAAACAAACAAAAAAAAAAACCCAGTTTTCTTCAAAGCACATGACTCTAGGCATGATCATAATTATGAGGTCCACCTCTCCTGAGGATTTACAGTCAGGCACTGTTTGCGAGGACTGACAGGTAGTTCCCAGCTGATGTGGGAGGGGCAGCCATTATGGCCACTGGTAGGCTGTCCATGCTCCTGTAAGTAACTCTCAACTCATGGGATCACGAAACCTGGACACGGAAGCAGAAAAAAGACGAACTGGGAAGAAAAAGAGGGTCCACAGATGGGAGGAGGAAAAGAGGGCATTAAAGGGAGACTATGATAAAAATGCATATAATGTCAGAATGAAATCCATTATTATGTATAATTAATATATGCCAATAAAAGCACAGGAAAGATTCCCCAAGAAAACTGTGAAGTGATAAACACTTTCAGTAAATACCAGGACACAAAACGAATATACAAAAATCAGTACCTTTTCTATTTACCAGTAATGAACTTGCCAAGAAGCAAATGGGGTAGGGGGGGACCCCATTCACGATAGCTCCAGAATAATAATAAAATATATAGGAACAAACCTGACCATGGAGGTGAAAGACCTGTACATCGAGCACTGTAAAACACTGTGGCAGGGTGGAGCGGTGACTCGGCAGAAAGACCTGGGTTTCGTTCCCAGCACCTTCAGCGTGGAGCACAACCCTCTGTAACTGCAGTTCTGGAAGAATCTGGTGCCCTCTTCTGGTGTCTGCAGGCACCAGGCACACAAAGTGCATGTACAGACTTGCAGGTAGACAGTTATACACATAAAAAAAAAAAAAAAAAACCAAAACACTATGGAAAGAATAATGCTAGATATGACTGAGATGCTCACAAGTCCGTCTTTACGGCTGTAGTACTCACAACAGCCAAGATAGGGGATAAGTCTAGATATCTATCAACAGATAAATTGATGGGAAAAAATACAGTACATGTGTCTGTGTGTATGCGTCTGTGTGTGAGACAGAGAATTTTATTCCACTGTAAAGAATGAAACTGTGACATTATCAACAAGAAAAGCCAATAGAGCTGGAGAACAATACGAATCATTCTTATAAAGATGCCTAGCACATGTTTTCTCTCATGTGAAAAATCTAGATTTGAATGAATGAGTGAATGAATGGCATGAAAGTAGAAGGGGGACTATGAGAAGGGGAGAAGGAGGTCTAATGAGAGGGGGCACATCAAGGGGGAGATAATGAATTAAAAGAAGTGTTTTCTCTCATATGCAGAATCTATACTCAACTCTATATACATAAATATTTACACAAATGTCTATATGACATGAGAAGGGACACAATTTAAGGAATGAAGGAGACTATCAGGGGATGGATGAGGAGCAAAGTCGGGGCAAGTCTGAACAAGGTAAAATGATACATATAACACATACAACACGTATACACACACACATATACACATGTGGGTGTCATAATGAAATCCTGGTTTTTAGTTACAATATTAGCATTCTGAATTTAGTTCATATACTATTGGCCATAAAAATGTAATATCAAACATGACTAACTGAAATTTAACTCTGTATCTCATTGACATGCAATTTTGGTAGTGAGATCTGTTGAGATAGAATATATACAGAGTTAATGTTTTGTGACCAAGTTACCTGAGTGGGCCAGCCTTGTGCTTAAGAAGTTAAGCACAAAGATCAACCTCAATGTTTAAGAAGTGCTGCTAAGGTCAGCCCCATCTGCCCATCTTCCCATGAGTCAGTTTCCAAAGGAACACACAAGCAGTTCTAGTAAGATAGACAGAAGCCTACCTCAGCAGACATTTCCCGGGATGCTCCATGAGGGGACTTTGCAAAGCAGCATTCTTGTTTCCAAACAAGTTCCTAGCAACCCTCAAGATCATTTTTAACTCTCTTCCTAGGATGCAGTGTATACCAATTGGCTAGATGGGGGTAAACTGGAGGCTTCTTGGTTACTTATTAAGTGAGAGTTCAGAATATTTCTCTGAGAATATGTTATTTTACTCCAGACAAACCACATAACAGTCTGATGTCCTGATAACAGCTGGCAAAAACCTTCACAGTGTGCACAATATGTCACAAGTGTCTCTGTTCATCTCAGCAGAGCACTCGCCTAGCCAGCCTCTGGGACAGGGGTCAAAGCACTGGCCATCTACTCACTGGCTATCTACTCAGGATGCACCAGCATTGACTCAGTCTCTGTCACTGTCTAGCTACAGGACAGGTAAGAGGACACAGAAATCCTTCCCCAGGTAGGACGATACCAAGTCGCTGCATGCAAGTCAGGGAATGGGATGCTCCTGGTGTCCTGTGGTCCTCAAGCCCTCCTTCATCTGCAGATTTAGTGTCCAGGATTATTTCAGTCGGAAGTGAGAAAAAGTAGTCCCCCAAAGGAATAGAGATAGGTTATAAACAGGCTAACCCTGTGGTTGTTGCTGTAAACACACATAATGATACACAACTCTTTTCCTAGGAACACAAAACTTACTAAATCAGCTTCCTTTTCAAACTCTCTTCCCTTTGCAAGCAAGAACAGTAACAAAATTCGGAAACAGTTAAGTGTGCCACTCCAAGATCCATAAAACAATTATCCTTACCAAGAATAGAGGATGGTTCCCACCATCGACGTGAGCTTACTGCTTTCCTGTTTTTGCTTTGCCAGGCCGAAGTCAGCTACAATTCACAAAACAGAGCAATGTGTTACTGTCTTTCCCCGGGATTAGCAGTCCCTAGCGTCTGAGAGCCTGCAAAGTAACCAGCTGCTTTCTCTACGCTTTCACAGAATGCCCCCATCTTAGTTCAGTCCCAACTTAGTTCAGACATGCTCTATACTACTGTGCTTTATATTCTGACATAATGGGATTCATCTTTTTAAAACAATTTAAAGTAAATTGTGCTAACTAAAGCAGATGAAGCCTTGTTGATCTTTCAATTTTTACTTTTAAGTTCTTAAATAAATAAAAAGATTGTAGCATTTATGTATATACCTGCATTAAAGCTGCAGATATCTGAGGGGGAAAAATGGGTGTGGTGGCTTACTTAGCCTGTGATCCCAGCTCAAGAAATGAGGCAGAAGAGCGTATGTTAACCACTGAGACCCTTTCTCAAAACAACAACCAAAAAGGAGAAGACAAAAGAAGAAAAAGATCAAAACAACTAAAAATGGGCAGCTGAAATTGTAAAATAATAATGTTAAGTGTGCCATGATATACTCTTTAATTATTGGCAGGTATGCAAATTATATGACAATTATTTTAAAATATGGCTGAGTCGTGAATAGATTCTTGAAGTCCCAGTACTTAGAGACTAAGGCACTAAAATCAAGAACAAGGCCAGCCTGGGCTACACAGTGAGATCCTGTCTCAAGGAAGGAAGAGAGGTGGAGGTGAGGGAAGAGAGGGTGATGGAGCGGAGGAAAGGAAAGGGGAGGTGAAGGGATGGACAGAGAGAAAACAGTCAAAGTACAGTAAGCCTGAGCAGCCAGCATGAAGATCTGAGAACCTGAAATTAAATAGCAACTTTTGGCACTAACTCACCATATCTGTAAAAAATAAGGATTAAAATGGCATAGCATAGTGGGAACTAGTACAACAGTAAAATTAAATAATTCAATATTCAGAGTTTATATATCATGTAAAACTATGTGCAGTACAGCATGTAATAACTGGTGTGGGCAGCCAAAGAAGCCTTAAGTAACTGTAAAGAACATGAAATCCTGAAAGAATGTATACTGCTGAATGGACAATAACCAATGTCCCAACCCTTGGGAAATTTTCAAAGCCTCCCTCTGGGCTGAGTGCAAATGTTAGCAGTGCGCACAAGTGTTTACTAATGATTGACCAGTGTGCGCACAAGTGTTTACTAATGATTGACCAGTGTGCGCAAAGACCAACAACTGCAGCTTCTTCCTCCTGGTTTACAGCCCGAGACTGCTGCCCACAGAGACCTCTTCACAATGAACAGTCCAATGTCAGGGTAGTTGGTGCTATTCCATCAGAGTGCACATAGACCATCTGACCCAAGCTTTTCATCATCTGTGTGTCTGTTTTTTCTTTAGTGTCTGTCCATTCTTCATTTTCTTGCCTCCCCCATCAGGTGTCTAGGACCAAGCCATGCTGGACACGGAAACTAGTGATGTTTGGTTGTTGTTTTTCACTTAAAATAACACATTTCTGAGTCACAGTCTTATGTATCTCAGAGATGATGCTCTCATCTGGTGTAAATGCCCTATGTGGCTTAGGATGACCTTGAACTTCTGATCCTTCTCCATGTCTCAAGTGCTGGAATTATAGACATGAGCCACCTGCCCATTTCTGCTGAACTTTGAGTTCAGGGTTTTGGCATGGAAGCCTCTATCATCTGAGCCATGTAACAGTCCTAAAATAACATATTTTTGATGAATGTAGACTTGCACATGTTCATAGGGTATGGTATGATAGTTCAATAAATGTATTAATATCTATATATCATATTCATTAAAATCAAGATAACATATTTTTCTTACTTTTGATTTAAATTAACTTTTAATTAATACATAAAAACAAAAGTTATAAATCTCAATGGGCTAATGTTATACTTTGATCTGTGTACACATTATATAATGTTTGAATCAGGCTAAACGTATTTATTTGTGGTGGAAACATTTCAAATCTTTTCTTCTAGCCTTCTGAGTTCATAGTATGTAAACAGCAGCCTGGTTTACTTTACCCATCCTTCTCTCCCTTATCTCCTCAGTCTCTGGCCATCATTCTTCTTAGCTTATATGAGACCAACATTTTTATATGCCAGGTAAAAATGACTCTCTTCTATGCCCAGCTTATTTCATTAAATGATCTATTTCCATATGTGTTGCCATAGAACAGACAGGATTCCGAGTTTGTATATAACATTCAACTGTGTATCCAGGCTATGTTCTTTAAGCATCCATCATCTGATGGACACCTGGTTGTCTCCATTTCTTACCCACTTGAAATACGCTGCAATAAACTGAGGGTACAGGTATCTCTTGTGAACACTGACTCCATTTCCTCTGGATGTTCCTAGGAGTGAAATCACTGGCTCAGATCATATTACGGTAGTTCTATTTTTAATTTTTCAAGGAACTCCCTTAGTGTTTGCCATAATCACTGTGCTAATTAACATTCTCCAGCAGGGCTGCCTTCCTCCACTTCCTGGCCAGCGCCTGCTTCCTTCCCCTCTCCAGCAGGGAGAAGGTAGCCACTTATTTGTTTATTTATTTAAGTTGCTATACAAAATTACCTTTACTCATTTTTATCATGGTCATTCTTTCTGGGGCAAAATGCTACCCTTGTGGTTGAATTTGCATTTTCTTGCAGATTAGTGATGTGGGGCCTTTTAAAAAAAACCTGCTCTTCATTCATGTGTCCTTCTGAGATGCCAACTTTCCGTGGGTTGCTTGAGGTTTTACAGAATCCTTTCAGTTTGTTGGAATCCATATGTCAGGTCTGATTTGTTGTTTCCTGTGCTTTGGGGTCCTACCCAAAACATACCAATGTTCTCAAGCATTTTTTGTGGGGGGTGGTTTCCACACTTATATCTTTCATTCATTCTGAATTGGTTTTATAACTGCTGAGAGAGGGGGTTCTAGTCTTACTCTTTCCCAGCACCATTCATTTTCATTTTAAAGGCTGTCCTTTCCGAATTGTGTTTTTATGTTATGTATTCTTATCACCTCTGTCAAATCCAGATGCACATAGATGATGGACTTCTTTCTAGACCCTCGATCTCATTCCATTGGTCTATTTCTATGACAATAGCATGCTATTTTGATTACTACAGCTTTGTAGTATATTTTGAAGTCATGTAGCATTTTATAGACATGAGGAAACTGAGGCTCAGAGACAAGGAGCAGCTTGCTTAATATCTTATAAAGAAAAATCAACAGTCAGATATTAATCTGAAGTCAAATGATTCTTTACAGAACACAATAGTGCCAACAAAGGAAAACTCCAGCCCCAATGGCTTCATTGACTATCCAATCCAATAGTAAGGAAGTAAACCATCTGCTGTGCACAAATGACCAATCATTAGACCACGTGGCTCTGATGAGAAAGGACTGAGAGCAGCACCTCCCACAGCATAGGGAAAGAAGACAGATAAGTCACTCACAGACCCCTCCAGCAACACAGAGGCCAAAACATAACAGCTGCAAAGACTCTCACCAGAACAGGAGATGGACAAACCAGCTGCTTCAGCCTTTAGAGAGCATCCCGGGTAGGTGGCCAGGCCACAGTAAAGGGGACTAGAGCTGGGGAGAGGGTCAGTCGGATAGAGTGCATGCTGGACCAACACTAGCACATGAGGGTCAGCATTAGATGGTTCCTCCAAGCTTGCTGGCCACCCAGTTCAGCCAGCTAGTCAGCACCAGTTACTCTGAGAGACTCTGTCTAAAAATAATTAGAAGAGTGACTGAGGATGACAAGTTGTTCTCTGGCCTACACAAATATTCACATTTGTACACACACACACACACACACACACAGGAAAACTGCACAATCATCACAATAAATGCACAAAGAGGCCTTGCCTGTGTCCACTCCTTTCAGCAGAGTAGAATACACTGGAACCTCCTCAATCTCATAATGGGAATGTATAAAAACCTATGGCCAACACACTAGTTAACTCGGAAAGACTGAATACTTGGTTTCTAATTTCAAAACAAGAATGGTGATGCCACAGCATATGCCCACAGTCCCAGGACTGGAGAAGCTGAAGCAGGAGAATCGTGAGTTCAAGACGAGCCTGGCCACACAGTGAGTTTCGGGATCATAGTTTCAGGGACACACAGTAAACCCTGTCTCAAAAAAATAAACATTTAAATTAAATTTAAAAAGTCAGGGATGGCCACTCACATTTCTACCCAACATTCAACAATGATTATGTGCACATTTACATGTGAACCGAACCTTTGATTTCTCTTGCAGTGAAATGATTAGATCATGTTCAATTTGTCTTTTTTTAAAAAAATGGTAAGTGAATGTTTCCTCTCAGAGGGGCTGTTAGAGGGTCTCAGCTGCCGTACTCAATCTAGCACCAGATTTTCCCGTGCTCCCGCAAGGGTCCTCACAGTGTGTGCTGAAAGCCCAAGTAGTTTTCACTTGCTTTTCCTTGGACATTTTTCATATTTATTGGATATCTATGAATCTTGTCTCAGTGACGTTTCTGTTCATTTTTCCTACTGTTCATTGGTAGATATATATTGCAAAGATCTCTGCTTGTTCTGAAGCTCACCTTTTTGTCTGTTTTCCATTTGCATTTACAAGGCTTTGTTTTCTTTCATAAATTTTACAATTTAAGTGGTTTGGGTTTTGTTTTTTTTCATTTTCTTTTGAGACTCACACTGTAGCTCAGACTGACCTCAGACTCAGCAATCTTCCTGTTTCAGCCTCTATAATGCTGGAATTACATATGACTTAAGTTTTTCACATAAATCTCTCTCTCTCTCTCTCTCTCTCTCTCTCTCTCTCTCTCTCTCTCTCTCTCATCCTAAGTTATTTTTTAATTTTTACATAGGTTGCTCAGATGGCTAATTTTTGGTATCAATTTGACTGTACTGAAGAACACCATCAAAACTGACTTGTGATGTAGGAGTGGGCCCCTAGAATGTCTGTCCTTTCCAGCTACCCTGACAGAGAACTTCGTAGTGGAAGGTA